TTTGTTGTGTTAAATCTCCACCGCCCAAGTCATCTAACGGATCAAAATAGATTGAGTAATGCTATTTGGACACACAACATTGACACACTTAGTTGACACCCGCTGATATGTCAATGTATCATTCGCTGAACAGAAAACGAGGAGAAAAGAAGAGCAAATGATACATTGACACATCAGCAGGTGTCACTAAGTGTGTCAATGTTGTGTGTCCAAATAGCATTACTCTCTCTATTTTGATCCGTTAGATGACTTGGGCGGTGGAGATTTAACACAACAAATAGAGAGAGTCAATTTAGTCTGGAGAAGCTTTTGTTTGTGGAGAAGCTTTTGTTTGCTGTCAGCGATTGCACTTCAATTTAGTCTGGTGTGATATATTTTGGTTCTAAATTTATGTTCTTTGAGCTATTGGTATGGAGTAAAGCTTGGGGAAACCCTTCAGGTATTTAGTCTGGTGTGATATATTTTCGTTCTAAATTTCTGTTCATTGAGCTATTGGTATGGACTAAAGCTTGGGAAAACACTTCAGGTGGGAAGAGAACTCAGAAAAGCACGGGGAAGAATAGTGGTCTTTTGCTGATCAGTTTGCACAACCACTGCTCCGAGACCAATTCGAGCTGCATGATTTTGTTCACAAGGGATCCATCTCCACTCCAGTGAATCAAACAAGGAAGCCAACCCTTCTAATTGCAATCACAATGGGTAAGATAGTCCATGCCCCATTTGCCATACCTCCTCCATTGATATATTTTAACTAAAAAAGAGAGATGAAAAAAATCGAACATTGAGGAGATGAAATGAGAAAGAGAAAGCATGGGATGAGTGGTATCTTGTTTCTCTGTTCTCAAATGGCGGTGCAAAGTCAGATATGGGTTTTTTTTTGTTTTTTTATTTTATGTCTTGTTTGTTGTGTTAAATCTCCACCGCTCAAGCCATCTAACGGATCAAAATAGAAATTTGTATTGAATCCGCATCAATGTAATTCGCAATGGAGAAAGGCCATATGGCTACCACCTAGCCTATATATACTTGTGTGAGATGAGGATGGTACTATTTTGCTATCTTCGGTCAATCACGGTATGTCACGAATGATAATTTTTCCACTTGGCATCGTGATTGGCTAAGAATAGAAAAACAGTACTATCCTCGTTCAACACAAGTGTTTCTCAAAGCCTAAGTTGTGAATGGTGCCACAACACAAGGCCCCAAACTTTTTTCACATATATAATATATATATATATATATATATGTTGAATGCGCAACATACTTCCTAGTGTACCCGTAGATAGCTGCAACTTTGCCTTTTATTTTAATTTTATTTTTTATAAAGGTGAGAGTAAAGGTGAGAGAAATTCATTTGATCAGCAGTACAAATGACAAAGACTGTAAAGGGAGCTATAGGTAAAATCTTTCCAAGTAACCTGAGTCAACAACGGAAATGATTCGGAGAGAATTACTCTCAAAAATAACTTTTCTATACCCCTTTCTATTGTTGGACTCAAGGTTTACATCGGCATGACTCTCTTAAAGAGACTACTAACACTTAACAAACTTAACCAAGTTTCTGGAATTATGAGAGAAAAACAACATAGACAACTCATAAAATTTCTAGATTTGACTGAACAAACTAGACCAAAACTAATAAAACTAAACAAAAGAAATAACAACCGCCTCTAATCTTTCTTAATGACATGACATAGAGAGCACTACCTAGTTATTCCATGGCCCCAATGCACTAATGAACAGTAAATATACCATGACCAAACAACAACATGATGGCACAACCAAAACCAGCCTAGAGTGTGAAGCAATGGCGAATCCACCACTTTTTCAGT